TAATAAACTAGAAAAAGTTACTCGAGGACATGTCCTTGACAACATATCATTGTCATTGGGGCGGGGTCCCCTATTCGGCATTTTCACCCTAGTATTATTGCTATTATGAGCGTCATTTGGATATTATGGTCTAGCTGATCTCATAAATTCCAAATGTGATTTAAATCCGTCAATTGAAGCGTACTATTTTAAGACAATTATATAATAAATATTTTTTTACAATTCCCGATGTATGTTTGGAATCACTATTTTGATAAAGCTTGAAATTATCACGTATGTTCTTATCAATGTCATTTTTTATTAAATTCTATTTTAAAATATCTAAACATTTACTTTTATCTAAAGTACCATCAATAAAAAATCAAAACAGATGTAGCTGTATATCGAAAAAATGAGTTTAATTAGGTTTTTCAGCATGGTTATTACTCGAAGCACATTGCAAATGCGGTAAAAAATTAGTCAAATACAAGAAACGTAATATTTATCGTAACTAGCTCAATTAGCTGATTTAATTAAATTCAACTGACCATTCATAGGTTACATATAAAAACAATTTTTTTTTAAAGCTTAAAAGATAATACAGAAAGTATTAAATCACCATAAGTTTGTATTACATTTTCTTTAGATCTTTCCCGACATATTTTCTAAACAAAAAGCAATCAAATATATACCTTATATGTTATTGTAGTGTTTTCTTCTACTTTAACGTGCAGCTTTCAATTTAACAGTCATAAGATTTTTATTTAGAAAATTGTTAATGTAATTTGTAGCGATTTTTGGGTATTATTTTTGTGAAGTAAGTTATACAATATTTAAACAAAAAAAAAGATTTTGTTCATAAAGTCTACTGAAACAGTGACAAGGGGATATAGGAAAAAATGTACAGAAATATTTGATTAAAATTATGTGCATAAGTGCGTATGCAAAAGCTAGGCTGGTCCTGCCCTCTTCCCCGCCCCAAAAAATATATAGTGCCCTACGCCAAAAAATATAGAATCTCATCATTTTAACATTTTAAGATTTCATTTCAGAAAAAAGTCTTGCAATTAGTTACGTCAATGATTAAAATATCAATTGTCTTCTTGTATCATTGCCTCAAAGACGTGCAGTAAAAATTGCTGCAAAAATTATGGCAATTATATAACAGAATCATAACTTATGGTATATAGAAGCTATGAATGTTTTATTTGTATTACAAAATATTTATAATTTATATTATTTTTTTATACAACAATTGCAAATATTAATAAATATCTATTATTATACCCTGTTCAGAAATTTATTATCCTTATAATTCATGCCTTACGATTAGTATCAAATATTCTTTGGATATTAAAAAATTTTTGTAAAATCAATGAAAAAAGAATTATAACTGCATATTTTTTACGCTATTGTGTCTTCTATTAAATCATCTGATAACTAAAAATTTTAATAAACACAGTTAATTGCAATAAAGATGATCGGCGAAAAATGTATTCTATACATAAATCTTTCGTAGATATGGCTCAAACATTACTAAGGCTTCATAAAAATAAGGATGAAAAAAAACAAAGTTCGTTATATGCTCTAATAAACGAAATAACTTTTTATCATCATATTTGTGCGTTACCGAATTCATATAATCAGAATACTTAACTTTATCATGCAAGCAGTTATCGATAAACATTCATATTACGAAATCCTTCAAATCGTGAACTTTTCTATCTTTATAGAAATAAAAAGAATTAAATGAATGTTTTCACTTTACAAACGATAAATTAAAATTTATTATTCGTGGTAAGAATATATATACATATATATCGTAAAAATTAAAAAATTCCATAGTAAGAGCGTTTCCTAAGGTGTCATATGATTGTGAATACCTTGCAACTGAAGGTAGTAAGTCTATACTTTGTGAAACGAAATGTAAATCTTGACGACGTGGATTTATCCCTTTAGATCTTCACCAATTTTATAGCCTCAGAAACCTGTTGGAGATTTTGAAAAATTGCCTAGTGACAGTGGCATCTCTAGCGGAATAAAAGTGAACTATGAAGAAGTAATTTGCGTTTTTCAAATTGTAAAAAAAATTTTTTCTACAAAAACAATTTTTACAAAGTTTTAAAAGCCCAATTGGGAAATTAAGCTCTGTACGTTGTTGTATAACTGCACACAGAATATTTTTAAAGAAGAATTATGAGAAAAAATTACTTCTTTACCTCAAAATCTTTGAACTATCAAATCGCTAAATTTGAATCGCGTTATTCTTGTCTTTCTATGTAAAAGAGACAAGAATCTTACGCAACTTTTCAATTTCTCCGCTTGAGGTCTCACAGATCAATTCGTCACTCCTGTTGACCCTTGATATGTTAAGTTAGATTTCGCTGAACTTACGCTAGAGACTGCCGCTAAGAATGGTAGCAGCATTGTTATGTTCCTGACATGCTTGTGGCTTTCTCTTATTCTTAGGTGTCCCAAGATAAATTATATCTGTAGCAGTCTTTTTAATAGACCACTGTTTTGACAGCAATATGGTACAAAAGAACGGTGAAAACAGCAAAAAGCTCAATTTACTCTGAAAAGAAAGAAAATGCTTCTTCTTCTGGAGAAAGCTGCAACGCCGATGTTCTATATTATCAACGAAGAAATGTATTAGATTCACAAATACATTGTTACCAGCAGGGAAGAAGTAATGTGGCAGCACTCTTGAAGTTATCGACGGAACTAAAAGACATTAGAAAGCTCCCTTCTCACAAGTGCTTACCGACAGTGATGGTTATTCATGTGTTTACAAAGTGACCCACACAATTAGGACAAGATGTATCTTCCAGTCAGAGATCGTAAATATGTCATAAAACAAAATTAAATGGTATCTCATGGTACATCATTTCAAATAATTTTTATGGATTTTTATATATTCATGCACCTAAAAACTACAGTTGCACCTTTTTTTTTTTAAATAGAACGCCATATTTTTGAATACACCAATTGATGCATCATTTTAATCTCCTTTATGATTTATGACTCAAATTTATAGTGTACCTCCAACTTCCAATAAATCTTATCTATCCCTTTAATCCCTATCTCAGATTTACTGATGAGTTCAACGAATTTCACTCCAAAATAGTTAAATTAACAGCTACTCTTATATGAAAACAATAAACTTGTAACAAATTTCTTACACAAAGTAGTTAAACCAGCAGCAACTATTGTGTGAAAACATTGCAGTTGAAAGGAATCCTATAATCAAGTCAGAAGACTGAAATTTATGTCAGAAGATAAAAATTATGTCAGGCGAATATAATCATTACAAGAAAGATAATAAAGTGATTAATTATATAATTAGAGTTCTTTGAAATTTCTGAATGTGAGATGTGTTCTTTTAAAAGATAATCCTCATGCTTAGCGTTGTAACAATGATTTCTTTTTATACAACTTATAATTTAAATAGAGACTTTAATCAGGTTGTGAATGAAAAAAAGGGGGCTGCAATAATTTTTTTATGAATTTTCTTTTTGAAAAAATAAATTTTAAAGTAACGTAATATGCGGTCGAACGCAAAATTTGTGCTAATTTTAAGATGCAGTAGCTACGAAGACTTTTTGTTTAAAAAAAGAGGGAGGTCTTATGGACCATCCATACTTCTAATATCTCATTCTATTACACTCAATAATAATTGATGTACCATAAATTTATAGCATCACGTGGCCAACAGTAATCGAATTACACTATTCAAGGGAAGGACTCCTTAATGTCTGCAATCTTTTGCAACGCCTTTTTGTTTTGAAAAATTTGTTCAGGCTTACAATTAGATCATTCCTCATGTAGCTGACAATGAGATTAAACAAAGAAAGTAAGCTAAGTATTTACTTATGTAAGTTGATCAATCATGCGGCGGTCATATTGATCAATATTCTCAAGATATCAAAAAATGATACGGATAATATTTATTATAATGAAAGATCAGTTTTATATTCTTCTTTCTAGATTAATATTTTAATTAAATTCTTAAAAGTAGAACTTATATTACAAAAAGTGTAAACTAAAACCCTATCTTACAATTAGAGATAATATCGTTACATTCATTAAATAAATTTAAATGATTGGTAAAATACCATAACTAGGTAAAGATATTTGTTTCTGTTGCTAATAAGTAGCAGTTAGCAATTAACAGAATGTTAACAAATTGAAAAAAGTATTTCCCCTTTTTAAATAATCATATCTGTTTTTATATCTTTACATTTTATAAATTTCAAAAAATTATGAGCATAAATTTTTGTTTCTAACAGTCCTCATAAACTAATAAATATACATCACTGTTAAAACGGTAAAACTGAACCAGCGAACAATTTGAAAATAGAAAGAGAAGCTATTATACATAAGTACGAATGCAGTTTAAAAAACATTTATTTTAATTTTCATTAGTATTAATATAAATTTGAGATTAAGATGAAAACAGTAATTCATATACTATTACTAACCAAGTTCTTGGTATTCTAATGTATCCATAATTATTATCTTCTATATAAAGCGGTTCTTTTCAAAATAAGAATCTACCTACATATACATATACTGTCCATCGATCAGAAGAAGATTCATGAGAATAATGCAATCTGATTGGTTGCGCCCCACCTCAATAACGTATGATTGGTCGACGTGATCACACTACTAAGTAGGCTCGTGTAAAACTAGGAGGTCAGTTGATGTGTGTGTACTACGTCCTCTTGTCCCTGTGCCGTCCTGTGAGACTTCTTGTATGTATAGTGCACCGATGACAAGATGTCCCATGAGACAAATGCAAATGCGTGCTTCTCATGGGACATCTTGTCATCAGTGCACAATACATAATCGGAAAAACAGTATTACATGTGACGCATTTTGATGTTCGTCTCGCAAACTCGCATGATACACGAGAAGTAATTGCGCGACCGGCTAGTGATAAGTTTTCGCGGTAGAACGTCACTAGATGGCGAAACTATCGGTCGTCCGAGAAGGCAGATCGGGGTATGAGCAGGCGCAGGTTGGTACACCAATCGCGCCTGTCTCTATTTCCGTAGAGGTCGAATGCGTGTGCCAGTGAGAGCAGTTCGACGCTCGAAGATTTCACAGCGGTTTAGACTTCAGTCGGACGGGGTCTGGTCTGCCTTGTCCCCGGCTTGCGACACTGTAAGTAGTGAAATTACTGACTGAAGTTTGTCATATTTTATTATTGTTTCGTTGTGTTGCGTTACGTACGTACGTAAAAAATCACGGCGAGTGTGTTCACGTGCGGTTTTTCAGCACGTCAATTAATCACTGACAATTCACGCTGACGGACGAAATTGCTCCAGAATCCTGAAACTGCTCATTCGTGCTCGTGTTCTCATGATTCTTCGGGCAAGTGGTCGTACCGTTTTCGCAGCAAAATTGATCCATCAGTTACCGCGAGCCTCAATTCACTACTTAATTCGATGCCCATCGTTAGAACGCGCCAATTGGTCGCGCGCGTACTGGCTTTTTCGGTATATTGTTACCGACACGCTTCTCGACTGAATTCGAACCAGTGCATCTGTAACTGTAACGTGTTCTGTGCCAATATCACTATGGATGCTTAAGATTAATTTCGAATCGTTGGTGAACTTATATTTGCAAGAGATTCGATATTAGCCATTTTTTTTTAAATTTTTCGAGAAGCAATAAGAAGATTCTTTGAATTGTGTTCATTGATATTAGACAGGTTCGCTTGAAAATAATAAACGTTTACGAACGCTAGTCAAGCGATCTACCCCGAATGACGTTTAGGACGTTTATGTAATAATCGCGCCGGATCGCTATAGTTGTTGATCGACGAGGTCTTGATGTAGGGTCGAAGATCATGATCCTCGATGTTGATTTAAGCTTGAAAATAGCTGTAACTTTTGTATCTTTTTGGTTTTCAAATGAAGTTTTTCCGTATTGTATGCGAAGGTCTTTAATGTCTGTAATACACATGTTAGACTGTTTATAAACATTTTAAAGTTTAATAAAATGTTTGTTATAATTAGAGAAATGGATTTAAGTCGTAAAGTAGGTTTAAATGAATTTTTGGAAGATTAGGTTTAAATCATTTTTAAAGCAATAGCGGTCGTTCTATGTTTATGTGAGTTCATTTGATGTATTACAAGTTATTTACATAACCTGTTTCGCTACGCACGGCGGCATAGTTTCCTTTTTTCAAATACAAATTGATTGTACGTCTTCGATGCTTATTGATCTAGTTCCATTTAGCGATTAATCTATATAGTCATTTACCGGGCGATTTTATTACTTTCGACAACTTTGTTTTCTGTAATGTTTGACACTTTATAAAAAGTCTAATATTGTTCGAATATCAGTGTTTTTTTCTTCGACAAGGAATTTAGATTTTACGTTAAACTAAATGTATGCACTTATTTAACGTGTTAGCAAAAATAATAATATGTAATAAAAAACATGAAATATTTTTTCTTTAAATTAAGTTTACACGTAAATTATTGCCAATTTTTCTTAATTTCCTATAAAATCATATTAAAAATTTTATTTCTATTATTTGTTGAGTAATTGGTTGCATAATGACTATTGCATTTACCCAAATAATGATTTTCTTATCTTTTGTTATATTTACATACATTTTCCATAAAATTAAATAAACGGTAATATTAGTAAAATTATATTACTCCTTTAATAATTTATTGTTTATGTAAACTCATGAATATTTACATAAGAATTATAGTATTTATATAAAATAATTTCCACCATGTATTGTTGATCTATTTGTTAATTTATAATGATTTATACATAATATTGTACCTACTAAAAATTTTTCATGAATTCACATATCATATTTGTTATGATTAAAGATGTATTGGTAAATAACAGAACTGTTTTGCTTGATAGAATAAGAAAGCACGTAACTAAATATTCGATGAAATATGAGTGAATAGAAAGCGAATTTTGGATGGTTACACCTTGAAGTGTAAACTGTATTTCACATTGATTGGAACTCTATTGATTGGTTAATTTAAGTCGATAGGGAACGCGAAACACTTTGCATCTGCTCTTTCACCACCCTTCGTCTCTCTGTCGTCCCCTCTCTTTTGAATTTTTGCTCGTTCATTCTCTTCCTTTCTCTCTCCCTCTCTCTGCTTCTCTCTCCCTCTCTCTGCTTCTCTCTCTCTCTCTCTGCTTCTCTCTCTATCTATTGATCTCTATCTCTCTTACGTACGTTTGAATAATCTTTACATATAATTACGCATGCAAATAAATAAAAATGATTATTAATAAAAATATATATCTGCGCCAATGATCATACTTATATACCAAAAATAGTAGTGTCTGTTACAAGTTCTTCCAGTAAGTGATATTATTATACAAAAATATTTTGCTAAGTATCAGGGCAATCATATAAGTTGCAATATCTATTATAAATTTATGGAATGAATGATATTAATAAAGTAATGAACCTAATATCTGTTGCACATTACATACATTTATAATATATATCATAACTTAACAAATTAATAAAAATTATTATTCTTTTTTCAATCAAAACACTTTTTTCACTAACACTAAATTTTATTAATTACCAATCAACATTGAATTGTAAAACGATCATTATTATAACATCATTTTATAAAATGGTTAATTAGTATAGCTTTTATTTAGTTTTTGTAAGTACTCTTTCTTTTTAAGAATTTTTTAATATATCAATAAATAAATTTTGATTAATTAAAACTAATTAACTGGAAATAATATTAAAATCTTATTTGCTGACATTGAATTTTGAATTGCTTAATTAAAAAACCTTACGTATTACATTCTTCTGAATTCGTAAGTGTATTTGTCGTCCGACACGAATGTGTCTTCGTCAGCGTACCTTTAATTAATTTTTAATTCTTACATATAAAAATTTGTGGAAATTACCTCTACCAATGGAAAATACCTCTATCATTTTACAAAATAGTAAAGGAATTTTGCATTTGCTTTCGCAAGAGGGATCTATGGTTTTCGGGTTGTAAGATGTTTTTGGGACACCCTGTATATTCGAAGGACTGATTGCTTAGCGCCCGCGCTGCTTAACACCTGATACACCAGTGGTTGACTCATTGTCAGGGTCTATTTGAAGTCGAGTGAACTTTTATCTTATTGTTAGTATATACATTGTGCTTTATCGTATAGATTCTTTTCCTCATTCAGTATTCTTAAACCTACAAAAATTAAAATAATTTCTTTTAACATATAAAATCATTAAAAAACTGAAATATAGATTGTTTCTTTTGAAATTGGTTTAATTTTTTTTTTTAACTGAGAAAACGAAACATTGAAATATGCTTAAATGTGATCTGTTTATTTATGAGCAATTTATATATATATTTTTTAAACGGACTTGTATCATTTTCAAAATTAACGCTTATTGAAGCATTGATCATTATCAACCTATACATATTGTTAAAGTTATATATGAATTTCTTTTTGTTTCCAACAGCAATATATACAGGGTATCGTAATATTGATGGTAAAACCAGGAACAGAATGATTTTACGTGAAAAAAATAAGTCGAAAGTGTAAAACAAAATTGTTTTTGTCTCTAGCTTTGTGTTCGAGAAAGTTGAATTAAGATATTTTTCAGAATATTTTTAATTGTAAGAAAATTCGTTTATAGTGAAAAAAAATGAACACCAATTTCAGCAGTTCTTTCGTTAATCCAACAATTAGTAGATATTATAAATTAATAAATATGATTGTTAATATCGTTAAAATGTTGGTTCTATTAATCACCGCTTTTAATGACATTGTTACTTATGCATATTCTTATCATACTTCCGACTAAATCCATCACAATATATGCATTGGCGTAACTAGGATTTTTTTAGGGCGGGCCAGGTCTCTTCGAAATTTTTTAATTTTTTAATTTCTCAATTTATGAATCTAAGAATTTTTTAATTTTAGAATTGTAAAACTTCAAAATCTTAACATTTTTGGAATTCTGGAATTTTTTATTCTTAAAACCTTAGAATCTTAAAATGATGAGGGGGGCCAGTCCACATTTTGAGTGGAGGATGGGGGGGGGCGTGCTTGGTTCATCCTGGTCCCTCTCTAGTTATTGATAGTACACTTTAACTGTAATAATAATTGTACTTATTAATTTATACCATTCATTAAAAAGTATCTTTCATAGCTTTTATTGACTGTTTATTTATTTCCACAAAAAGTTTTTCACAATCTGCAATACTGCTGCGTTCTATTTTGCAGCATATTCCATAAATAATAATAAAAAAATCTTCGACACATACATTCCAGTTCAAAAGTTATAGAATATCTGTTATCATTTCATAAATGCCTAAAAAGAATTATTAGAATTGTTGAAATATCTAAAGGAGTACAATCTTTTTTCCATTTTCTACAAAAGTAGCTATGTATACAGGGTGTTTCATTTGAAGTGAACCACGTCATGATCATATTTCTGCAAAATATAGTTACAGTTAAACTTGATAATGTTCAAAGTTTCATATTTACATTTTTTAATTAAATAGTTTGTAAGAACTATTATATTGCATAGTGCATATTGCAATTGAAGGCGATAAGTGCAGTATCTTGTGTTCATGGTTGCATGGTTCAATTTAAGTGGAACACTCTGAATATGTGATAACAGATAGGATAACAATGATTTACTAGTAACCTCACCAAAATGATTAATAATAATTAAAGCCTTTCGTTAACATATTCTCCACATTTTAAAGTGCTGCTTTTGTAATTTTTATATTGCAGTAATTAGTATTTTCATCATTTCTACATTAATATTATGTTCATATTATCTTAATAGAAATAAAGTACCTAGCCAGCTATTATAACTAAACGTATTTCTAACACTTTAACAGGGCGACGTCTGAAGCTTTTCGGGCCCTGGGCATAGAAACGAAAGCCGAGCCCTTCTTATGCATACAGGGTTTTTCGCTTAAAACAGGCCACCTAAATATCTTCTATATTTGTTATAATACTAAAAATATTTTTTAAGCAAAACACCCTGTTTATTTTAATTAAATTTAGAAGTCAAAGCCAGCAGATTTATTTATTTCATGTAGTAATGATAAACATCTCTATGGTGGCCCCTCTTTTCAGGCACGTTTCTATTCTGCTTAGGGGTAATCGCTACACCTTAAATATTTCTA